TATATATATATATATATATATTGTGTGTGTGTGTATAATTATATTATATATAATGTAAACAAGAGATCAGCTGAAATAATTAAAATAGAATTTTTTCACTTCTTTAAGGCCAATTCATTTCCAAAAATAGCATTATTTTGCACAGTTCCTCAGAAACTCTTTCCATTTCAAGGAATACAAGAAATTATTCAGATTTTCTTTTTCTTTTTGCATACCACAGAAAAGATGTCCACAATTTGTTTCAATGGGAAATGTAGCCTGTTGTAAACACACCGGGCAGGACAAATCAGTATAGAAATGTTGCCTGTCACCAACACTATTTTCCTGGGGTGTGGGGAGAGAAATATAATTAATTTAAGCAGAACAAATAATTATATTTGTGACAAGCTGCAAAATAGTTAGAGTGGCATATTTAGAAGAAAGAAATCTCTGACTTTGATAAAGGAAGGAAGCAATAAGATCATACAATAGAACAATACAGATACATGACAGCTCATTCAACAAATACACTTGGATAAGATGAAAACTCATTTTGAAACTTCTTAGAAACTTTCTCTTTGGGTTGCCTTTTGATGACCATGATTAAGAGGGAGATAACAGAGTTTATTTATAATTCTTATGTTTCAACTTAGAATAGCTGCACCATAGTACTTATAACATAAAAGATCCAAGCTTTCAAATTATAGTTAAAGTTTTAGGACCCTATGGCTCCCCTAAAGCTTTGCTTCTTTGATAAACATTTTAAATATATATCCCTGCAAATCCACATCAACACCTAATTTTGAAATGACATAATAAAGTTTATTTTTAGCACAAAGAATTAAGGTATCCAAACCCTATCAATTGTTTCTACATTTGGTGATTACTTGGGAAATTTTCTGAAATATAATTGATTTATAGCAAAAAGAATCTTTAATAGACATTTTAAGTACATATTCCTGCAAATCCACATCAATACCTAATTTTGAAATGATATAATCAAGCACAAAGAATTAAGATATCCAAATCCTATCAAACTTAAACATTTCTACATTTGGTGATTACCTAAGAAATTTTTCTGGGATATTATTGATTTATATCAAAAAGAATTGTGCGTAATTGTAAATATACCTGTTCCGATTGTATTTGTTGTCTAACTGCCCTCACGAGCTCTTGGTTTTCTGGATGAATATCTGATTGCCCATCTCTGTTAAGAGAAGAAATACTATTAATAAAACATTTCAAAAATGGAATCGAACAGAAAAATATAAATTCATCATGTTTAGACTCCTAAGGGTCTCTAATCTTTGCATGCTGTTATTTTAAGAGCTGCTACATTACTTGAACTATAGAATGAAATCTCCAAAGATAATATTAATCAAGGTTTAAAATATACTAAAACATTAAAACTTTAATAACCTATTGTACTTAAGATAAAAGTGACAATACATTATTTTTCTGTTGCATAATGAAATTCTTGGCTGAACATGCTTTGCATTATATTTTTCTTTTCATTTTTATAATATAAAATACAAAAATAAATAGTAGGAAAAATAAGGAAGAGAAAGGAGAAGTGTATAAAAGAAAGGGGAAAAAAGCGTTGATTTCTGCTTTTCATTGTATTTTATCGTTGACCATATAAATATTTGGAGGTAAACATGCAGATCCAACTTTAAAATCCCTAACATCCACAATAATTTTATTCAATATTCTTAATTGTTTAATTTTAAAAATTAGTCAGTAACTATGTTACTATGTGATTTAAATCTGAGTTCTTTTTAAGCTTTGCATTATAGTAATACTTTCTTTACTTTCTTTCCAATTTCTTTTAATTACATTGCATATGATGAGCATTTGCATGTGGGGGAGGGACGTTAATCAAAATTTATTTTAATTATCCTCTATGATAAGTAAGATGAAAAGAAAACAGTCTAACATCAATGAGTATTACAGCTTGTTTGAACCAAATCTCCCCAACTTCCAAGCATGTTGATTAGCAGCTCTCTTCTGGATGTTTCTCTCAGAATGTGTAACCAAGTAAAACTAAACTATTATTCCAAATAGCTTAATTTATAAGAAATGAATAAAATTGACATACTTCAACAACAACAAATTTTCTAGTGCTATCAACCTTTTACTTCACCTTACCTTAATAGCATGTATGTCAGTGCAACAAGGAATGTGATGCTAAGCACTACTGCCAGCAGAACCTGGTCACTTATTCCTTCTATCATTGAATCACTATCTAGTACCAGTCTTTGAACTTCAGTTTCCTGGCTGGCCATTCCAGAGCTAAAACTTGGGAAACATATAAATATGCATTTATTCATAGGCACAATTATTATTATATTCTTATTTACAAACTAATAAATAAAAATCAACTTTCAAATTTTTAGCTTGTTGCTTGACTTTCAAAGGGCTAAGATTAATTCCTTTTCCATATAGTTAAAACAGAGTAATACTGAGTAATATTCTGATTTCCTGGACTACAACAGTCCAGTAGGAAGTAGGAATAAAACGTCTTTGAATGAAAATGGTTCCAGAAAGTAGAAAGGGAAAGTCACTGATGCATAATAAGACAAATATATATATTAGCATGTACTAAAGACAGATTCTACTCCCAAGATTTGTATTTTAAAACTAGGAATATTGAGGTATAGCAATAACCTGAGATTTCTTTCAAAGAACATTCTGGGTTTCAGTTTGATGAGAACGTGCACATAGCATAAATGTTAGCACTATTATCATAACATTATGAAATATAATATTCTTGGCTTTCTAACAGATAGTTGATTTTATATTTTTCAGGATGTTAGATGGCTTATTGATTTTTTTCTTATAAATTGTGAATTTATTATTGCATTGGTGATATTTTTATTTGTAAAGGTATTTATATTCCAATGATTAAAACACTTCCAGAAAATAATAATTAAATAACTGAATAACTTAAAACTAGGCAGTGAGGAAAGATGCAGTATACTTAACTAGGGATAAATAACAGTAATGTATGTTTCCTCTCCACATTCCAAGTCTCTACAAGTTAAAAAATACTTTTTAACAAAGCAAATCTTCCTTGGAAACAGATACAAGCTGTCCTTATCTATTCTTAGAGATTTTTCAATATCAGAATTTGACCCTAGAATATGAAAATTGATGGGAGCATGAACAGAACATCTCTGTGTCTCCTGTCTGCCTATGCTTAAAATTTAATGTGTTGTTAATTACATTAAAAAGCCACCCCAACTTTGACTCTCTGGATCAGTCTTTAGCTAAACAACCAAACAATTTGTGTACCGTGTTTCCCCAAAAATAAGACAGGGTCTTATTTTTTTTGACTCCTTAATAAGCAATTTTTGGGGAGGTCTTATTATTTTTGAGGTGCAGGAGGCAGCGAGCATGGTCACCTCATGGCTGCCTCTGCGTTGTAATATTTTCGGGGAGGGCTTATTTTAGTGCATGCATTCAAAATCCGGTTTGGGCTTATTATCCGGGGAGGTTTTATTTTCGAGGAAACAGGGTAGTTTCAAAAAAGTCACCAAAATGTTGATGGTCATTTTGATGCTATTTTTCAATAAAAGTGCAATAGAATGATGCAATAAAAAGATGTAATTAAAAAAAAGAACAGCAGAAAAATCAACCACTAGTCTTGCCTAAACTATGATTGCTCTCTATTTCTGTAATCTTCCATCATGCTTCAGTCTGTCTTCCTCTACTCTCTAGAATACGTGCAACTATAAAACTATCTGACAGCACTGAGACCTTTAGGTTAAAGAAAAGACAAAATAGCATTTTCCAATTCATGAAGCCAATTCATGCAGAGATCTGTAAGTTGTCAGAAAACCTCTGTGCAAATGCCAAAAAGGGAAATCCTTGCTTTAATACAATGATATATTTAGATCAATGCCCACTCTTTTACCTCAGCTGGGAATGAGAAGACTCATCACTGTGTCATCTTCAGAATCAAAGGAAATGTTTCAGATGCTGGAGTTTGAAACCTCTTGAGTTCTGCCTTGGAAAAAAGAGATATTTTCAGGCTATTTCTTTTTTTTTTTTTNCATATCTGTTCTGTGTTGAGGCACTTGTCAAATTAATGTTCAGTAAAAAGTTCAGAAAGCCAGGACATTAAGCACTCTAAACTTTTATCTGAATAGTTGCAGGAAAGAAGCTTAAAGGAAGATTAAATTATTTCTTATCTGTGAGAGCATTTGATAGCAACATGTAACTATTTATGTTCTGGTTGGCTTCAACTCTAATCCATGAAAAGTTTATCTCAAGTGACCTTTGTTGGTGCTCTCGAATGTTTAGTTATTTTTCTATAAAATGCACCTTACTTTTATCTTATGCAGTTCATATATAAAATCCTACATTAGATTCTAAAGAAAATGTTATTATATTCTAGCTACATACTGCATCATTCTTTAAATATATTACGAATTGACGTTAAAGACAAGAAAGGCAAAAGACATAGTAAACCAAATGTATTTAAAATCACAGTTTAAAAAAAGCCTAGGACAGTACTAAATTTCCTAAGTTTCTATTTATACTTAAGACACAGCACACAACAACATTTGTAAAATTAGAGCTAGAATTTTATATCAAAATATGCATAATATTACTGTTTGTCTGCAGATAGGGCAGTGTATTGCACCTAGCCATGATCCACACCTCCAATATGCAATAATGCAGGAACCTAAAAAAAAAGAATGTATTAATTTCTTACACTCTAAACATAGTCCTTGACTTACAACCATATTTTTAGTGACTGTTCAAGTTTTCAATAGGACTGAAAAAAATGACTTGTGACCATTTTTGACACTTACAACTATTGTAGTATTCCCGTGATGATGGAAAGCCAGATTCATTTAACAATCATGTTACTAATTTAACATATATATAGGTATGCTGGTCTTGTTGTATTTTCCTGTGTAAGACTGAGATTGTCTTGGCAACGTTTCAACAGAAACCAGCCCTAGTCAACAAATGAACCCCACCCACCACCCAGGTCGTTACAACACAAAAGAACAATGGACACACAGCCAGCACCTCAGCCACACAGGGTGATTCGAAACAGCTGACCAATCTACAAACATCAACTCCATTANTCCCTCCCTTCCTTCTCACCCTCCCTCCAGTCCTCTCTCCCACCCTCTCTACCCCTCTTTCTTCTATCCCTCTACTCTTCCCTTCAGGCTATTTCTTAGCTTCTTATTTTAGCATAGCATTTGTCCTACATTATTTCATGTCCAGAAACAGAGATATAAAGAAATCTATCCTCGCATGGAATAAAACATGAGGGTGTAAAAATATCATCAGAAGAAACTATAAATCACATCTATCCACAAATAAGACAGGAACGAAATTCAGGTGGTCCTTGACTTACAACTACAACTGACTCCAAAATTTCTGTTGTTTTCTGCACTGGAAAAAAACTCCTGCAGTCCTCATAGATATTAATAAAGGTATATAACAGGTAGTCCTCAACTTATGACCATAATTGAGCCCAACATTTCTGTTGTTAAGACATTTGTTAAGTGAATTTTACCCCATTTTATGGCCTTTCTTGCCTCAGTTGTTAAGTGAATCACTGCAGTTGATAAGTTACTAACCCAGTTAAGTGGGTTGGCCATTGACTTTGCTGGTCAGAAGGTTGCAAAACGTGGGACACATCAACTGTCATAAATATGAACCGGTTGCCAAGCATGTGAATTTTGATCACATGATCATGGGAATGTTGGAAAGGTTGTGAAAAATGGTCAGTCACTTTTTTAATGCTGTTGTAATTTTGGTCACTAAATGAATTGTTGCATGTCGAGGACTACCTGCACCTGTTGCAAGAAAAAATCTGCCTTTGCCTTATGATATTCTACCAATGAATTGAGAGTGGTGAGTTTGATTACCCAATATTTCCTACAACCTAAATCAACAAATTTAGGACCCCCATATTTTAAACTGCATATATAATATGAGACTTTGGGTGTTTTGCTCCATTCTTCACGGATTACAGTGGAACTATTCTATAGGTAAAATATAAACTATTTTATAGATCCTCTGAAAGAAGATCACAATCCTGCCACACATAAATATAACTATAATGTTAGTGTTGAACATTCTACAATCTACATTAAGGCACCTGTCCTATCGTTCTTGTTACTGAACCAGATTTTTTTTTAAAAAAATCCAGAAGACATAAATAATGAATCATGTCTATATTGCTGCTAAAAAAATTATTTGGGTATCTCCATGTAGGTATCAGCTGAATTCAAATCAAGGTCTTACCAGAAGTAAGGCTGAGAGCTAAATAAAATTAAATAGAGGACCACAGTGACCTCACCCCATCTCATTCCCACTAGAAGTCATCATGATCTTACTCATACCTGTACCTGATATCTGAAAGAGTCCGGATAATCTACCTTCCTCTGAAGCGGCAGCGTAACTACTTTAACAACCTTTTCTAAAAAATTGGAGATAGAATGAAAATTGTCTTGATCCATTGATGGCTTCTTGAGAAAGGAGACTACCACATCTCTCAAGGATAAATGTACCATTGCCTGGACTTAGCTATGCATCGTTATCCAGGAAGATTAACTATTGTATTTTTCGGAGTATAAGACACACCTTTTCCCTCAAAAAAGAGGTTGAAAATCTGGGT